TAATTATCCACAAAATCATCACAATCTCTGTAAGATTAAGGTCGACTATATATATATTTTTAGAAGTAGAGGCTTTAAAACCAAGTTAATTCTGAAAGTACAAACATTGCTAATGTCAACTTTCCCGACATGTGGCCAACAATAATGGTTTCATGTTGTTCATTAAAAAAATATTTGCGCATAAATAAGTGACATCATATTCAGTACTTACTTCTGAAAGTTTACTCTTCTTCCGCTCCGCTTCCACTGTTTTTTTTTTCGGCAAAATTATCCACACCACCACCGCACTATGAAGTCTGGGATATGTTGGGCCATGAAGGCTACACCGACCCATCCTTAAAATTCAGGGAAATTAAGGACGCATTTCAGGGCCGCATTTCGAGCAGCCTTTGAATTCGGAAAGCCTTCTCTTGTCGCTGTGACGTAATCGGCCTTAAAATGCGGCCTTTAAGGCTGCAAACCCCAAATCTGGTCATTGGTACTTCCTGGCTTGTGTAGTTACTAGGTAACAAAAGCTCAACACTGCCCCTAGCGTCCTGGAGCACTTCCGTTGTGTTTTGGAATTTGCATGTGTTTTTGAATTTGCAAGTGTTTTTGAATTTGTACGTGTTTTGGAGTTTGTACGTGTTTTGGAATTTGCATGTGCTTTTTAGTTTGCAAGTGTTTTTTAGTTTGCATGTGTTTTGGAATTTGCATGTGTTTTGGAGTTTGTACGTGCTTTGTCTCTAGGGGCCACCGTAGTTAATAAGTGTCAAGTTCAGGATATGCGCTACCCGTTAAAGGGGACGAAGAAACCAGGACTAAGTTTTAAAGATGAAACGGGTTAACTTTATAGAGGTTGTTTCCAAACCAGTGACAAGAGTAAAGTAGGACCTTTTACCAGGAAAAGCTAATTGTATCTTTTGGAGTTTACAGTGTACACTGAGGGAAGTCAGGAATAGTTTTAAACTGGGATTCTAGTTGAAAAGGGGATGAAGGACGTAGATTTAGGACAGCTCACAGCCTGGCGTAAATGCAAGGTGCTGTCTCACAACTTGATTTATTTGTTTGATTTATTTTTATGACCAAAATAATAAGGAAACATTGAAAACATACAACCCGTTGAGGGGACAGATAGGGTTGGGCAATTGAAAGGTTTTGTTTTGTTTAGCATGATTTTTTTTGTTATATTTTAGCTTTTTACATGGAGCACGCCTCTCTGGAGCTTCTCTCCTGATGCTACCCCAAATAAAACCCATCTCCATAGAGACTGTGTCAGCTCCCAAACAAACAAAAACAAACTAAAAGCCAGCAGTAAACAACGTAAACATAAACAATCACAACGAAAGAACAATACAGAATCCACATCTGAACCAAAGAGTAAAACAGTGAAATGTGGATTATTAAATATTAGGTCTCTCTCTTCAAAGTCTCTGTTATCTCACCCCACCCAATCACAGCAGATGGCCCCGCCCCTCCCTGAGCCTGGTTCTGCCGGAGGTTTCTTCCTGTTAAAAGGGAGTTTTTCCTTCCCACTGTCGCCAAAGTGCTTGCTCATAGGGGGTCATATGATTGTTGGGTTTTTCTCTGTATCTATGAAGCGCCTTGAGGCGACTTTTGTTGTGATTTGGCGCTATATGAATAAAATTGAATTGGATTGAATTGAAGTAAACTTAATGGGGTAAATTAGGAATTGTGTTGTGTTTCTTCTGTCATGGGGACAAAAGAATCGGGGTTTAATACAAGACTATAAAGATCAACAGCAATTCAAAGAAAATATATATTTACTGATGAGTACTGCAAGTACTGCTTTTTATATCCCTCAATATGTAGCAGTGAAGAATAGAACAGATCTTTTTTCAGGATACAGCATTAAACTAATGGGAATAATGTTTGCACTGCAGTAGGTCAAAGAAAGTAACCAAAATCAAAGTTCCATCATACATATAGCTTTTCAGCACATTTCAATCAGTCTGGAAAATTATCATGTAGACTGGATATTATTATTATCACATCTTTCACGTGCTTTTGGAATTCCACAACAGGGTTTCAGAAATGTAATTTACCCAAATTATTGCTCATGTACTGTTAAAGGGAACGAAAAGGTAGAGATGCAAATGCACATTTCATTAAAATAATAGGAAGTTAACAAGCAGAGCTGAGGATAAAATATCATTTAGAATCATAAATGGAAAATTACTGGTGTATATAACTAACAATATCCAAAAGGAGTTGAATATAATAAGGCAGGAACTCAAAGAACACGATGCTTATTACTCCCTTGAAAAGAGAACATATAGGATTAAACCATGTACTCCATAAAAAAGCAAAACACCCAACAGGTCTCTGTCTTTAACGTAATACACCAGAAAGCGTTAAACATGTATGGACCAATTGCACAAAGTATGTGGAAGAGAGACGAGAATTAGTTATATTCCCCACCGCACGCTGTACTCCATCCACACGCCCTTCCCGTAGGTGGCGCTAATGCGCATGTCAGTCGGTTCTCCACTCGCCATTAACGTCCGAAGAAAACGAAAAGAAACGGAAGAAGAAGGTTCAGCGGGACCAAGATATAAAAACTTATTTACTGTGGTACGTAAGTTTGCTGGTAGCAAGCATCATCATTGAATTTGATCTTTCATCTGTTGCGTTGTTTTGTGTGCACGCTTCAAAGACGATGAGAATTGCATTGTGAAAAACGCGGTAAGGATGAGTGACATGAGCACCTCGACGTGTTTGTTTTTATAACCTTTTAATTACCGTTCAAAAGACATAACACGCCTCTGTTTGCATGTGACGCAGCGTGACTAGCGCGTTTTCTTTAAAAAGAAGAAGAAGAAGAAGCTAGTGTCAGTTAAAAATATAACGGGACGTTAACGAATCACACAGCCCCGTTAGCGTAGGTAGGTTGAGCCAAAGTCTTTGTTCTTGAGCATGTGACATATTCTTAATCTGAAATGCGAAAGTCAAGAGCTGCGTTCCTGGTAACCAGTTTAACTCAAATGGTTCCCGAACGTGCTCATGGTTCCCCTTCAGTCGACCCACTCCATATGGGATCACGCTTCCGGGTGCCCTGGCTGAAACCCCACAGCTACGATGACGTATGTGGCTCCCGCTCGTGGCATCATCCCTCAGTTCTTGCACTCTTCACCTGGATAAAGAACACCTATGCTGAACTGGGCTAGATAGCTACTGCTAGTTAGCTCCGTTGCCTGCTGCCCCTGTTGTTTTACTGGTGGTTTGATGGCAGAGCTGCGGGGGCGCGTTCGCTGTATTGTTCCTCTGCTGTCAGATGGAGGCAGTGTAGGAAGTCTGTGCTGGTCAGTGGACGGCTCTTGCTCCAGCTGCGGAGGAGAGGGAAGTTATAACGTATAGAAGGCCTAAGAGAAACAGTGTTTGACTACAATGACCTGGATGACTGAGAATCTTCACAGACATAGTGTTAAACATTGAAAATTGTAGCTACGGCCACTGGCTGTGCTACTTTTTTAAAATCTTTGAGGCTGTAATCAGATCTACTGTCTTTGGCTTTACTTTTGCAAGTAGATGGAAAGCATTCCTCTGTTTCACAGACTTGGAGAGCGATCCATGCTTTCATTGTATCTCGACTTTTGTAATACGTGTCAGTCTGTCGTCTGTTAGCTGACTGCAGCTACATTGGTTAGCACCCTCATACCTTTCTGGTCTTTTGAACTGGTAGATCTTTCAATATCATCTGCAGACTGCCAAAGCACAGAGGAGGTCGGCCTTTGCTGTGACTGCTCCTAAACTGTGAAACAAACTGCCTCTTCACATCAGGACCTCCCCAACATTAGGCACTTTCAAAACATGTTTGAAAACCCACATTTATTCCTTGGCTTTTAAAGCAGAATGAGTTCTGACTACTTGTTCTTGTACTGCTTTACTGCTTGTTCTGACTGCTTGCTGCAGCACTTGAGTCAGCAGCAATGTGCTATATAAATAAATGTGACTGACTTTTGTTGTTGTACGCTTGTTCATAATATCAGTCTGTACATGCTCCAGAGAGCTTTTCTTCAAATTCTTTAATTCTCAATCGCTTTTGCAACTTTGTACTTTTGTGTTACTCGCAGCAACAACTCCACCTCATTGTTAGTCCATTTAAAAAGCTCGCTGCTTTTTCTCAACATTTTGCTGCCACATTTCAACAAGTAAATAAACGGCAGACGGAAATGAGGCAGGTCGAATCTTCTTGCGTCTCACGCATGTGCAGGACTGGAACGTAAGCGTTTTCAGCCGTTTCAACTCCGTGAAAACGACTGAAAATGCTAGTGTGGGCGCGGAGGCGAAAACGCCGTTTTCACATTTATCCAGGCTAGTGTGGTTGTAGCGTCAGTCTCTACCACTCAAAGCAGTTGGTGCCTGCAGAGTGCTAATTCAGAATCATCTTGTGCAGCATTTTTGCTTTGATCCTTTTGGTACTCATTCCACATCTCTACCAACTGCCTTTGGGTTGTATGCCTCTCCCTTCTTAAACATGAGCACTGTCTCCATGTCCAAAGAGCTCTAGTTTCATCTCATGTGAGAAAGGAAGTGCTACCAGTGTGTAGAAGCTTTCTCCCAAGTTATCCTTAGCATACTTTAGTCTGGCTTGAAGGTGTTTCTTCTGCAGAAGTGTAGTTTTTCTTGCTCTGCATTCTCAGTCTCTTCCTGTACAGTGTCCTGGTGATTGTCTTCGATCCATCTTAGTTTAATAAATACCACACATTATCTGAAGTTAATTTTGAACTTTTCCATAACTTTGTTGTTCTACTGTAGTTAAATTACTTAGATGGGTTAGCTGTTGTTTGTTGCATCCTTTGCAGATTCATGAATTTGAATATATATTTAATATTAGTCTGTAATGAAATAACAGGGCTCGCAAAATCTCTAGCCCGACGTCCCGGGGCTAGCGATTTTTCCAGTCGGGCCCTGCCCTGCCCATCGGGCTATCATAGGAAGGAAAAATATATGTCAATGCTTTTGCATTCTTTCGGAAATGTAGCTGGGTAATTATGTCACTGGCATCGGTGAGCCACTGTCAATATGTGACATATTGAAATCGCGTTTGAATTTGCGCTTGTTTTTTGCTTTCACTTTGCAATCGCGCGAACTGTGTATAGAGAGCGACAGCACTGATCTGTGAGTGATGATAATTTGCGCACCAATTCCTCTGATGTCGTCTTATCAATCATTAGCTTACTACGCAAACATGACAAGTGAAATCTCCCGCAGCAAGCTTAAACATGTGAGAGGTAGGGCTGGGCAAAACGATTATTTTCCTAATCGATGAATCTAGCGATTAATTTTTCGATGCATCGATTAATCTAACGATTCATTTTTCAATCCGATTAGATTTCGATTCGATTAACGATTTTTTTTGCCCATTATTTGACTTGTATAGCAATTTCACATTTACTAATTTATGTATATAAATGAAAAACACAAATTTATTCATTTGAAGACCTTTTAATAAAAAAAAATTGCAAAATAAAGTTGTAGAGGTCATACAATCAATACAATAGAGATAGCATTTAACAAGAAATGAAATGTGCAAACATATATAAAATTAAGGAAAAGTTAACAAAACATTTCAAATAAATAGCAACAATGGTGTCTTTAAACAAACAAAATGTAACATTCACTTTGCTTTCTGCCAAAAAGTGCTCTTCATTCACAAAACAAAATCCACAATAACATTGTACTACAATCTTCTGTTTTTAACAAAAAATTAAATGTTTTGCAAAACAAATATAACAAAGGAAATCATAGCAAAAGATTAATAATATACAAACAGCAGCAATGGCATCTTTGAACAAATAATGAAATGACAAGTTACCCCTAAGTAGGACTCTGTGACCAGACTTGTCCAAGCATCAGTGGTAAGGGAGATTTTGGATGTTTTGGAGGCTCTTTTTTTAGTTCATTCCTTAGTTTCTCCACTGAAGTTTCATACTTTCTCTCCATCATGCTTGTAAAATGACGCTTAGACGGCAGAGTGTAACCTGGTTGGAAAGTGGTCAGCATTTCTTTGAATCCATCACCCACAGCAAGTGGTCTCTTGTCTTTTAAAATCATAGATAAGACGCACTCAGTAAGTACAACCACCTCCTGGGGGGTGCATGGTGTACTTCTTCTCTGACAGTAGTCCTCCAGAGTTTTCTGTTTATTCCTGAAATCATAAATCACACACAGCACACAGATGAATTCGAATAATTACTAAATAATTATATGGAAAGCATAATATCAAAATAATTTGATAAGGATCTGGTTGAGATAGATAGATATATACACACATACTGTTATGCCATGTGCTTTCATAGCATAACAGTAAGAGGTTAATAATAATCCCCAATGTTGAACATATGATATGCAGTAATCATGATGGCTGGAAAAGATAACGTTTAAACAGCCATAGCTGATGGCACCTTTACTGGTGCACTGCTTTCTAGTCATTAGATGGCATAACTTTGACCTATAAGATCAAGCTGGAGAAGCATTATGTATAAAAACAGCGTTCAAATAGGATGAAACACATTAAATTTGACAAATCAAGAGTTCATTGTCATTTTGCTTTTGCAAGCACTTTAACAATGTTGTAAAGTGTCCACGACGGCTACGTTTAGCAGGTGGTGCATTATCCTTGTTAACATTTCTCCTGCGGCCAATTCGCTGTCTCACATTTTTGTCTTTCGCCGATTCTGATAATCAGCCTGCGTGCATTCCGACTCATTTTGCCAGCATGGGCCACAAACCAAAAAAACAATAACAACTAAACAGCAGCTGCTATATGTTACTGCTAAGCAGCTTAAATGAGTTTTGCATTTACGGAGGTTGGGTGTTTATCTCTGTGTCTATGAGTGAGTGTACGTCTACGTGGGGGGGTCTGGATGAATTAACGGGTAAAAACTAGCGTTAGTAAAAAAGTTGAAAACTTACGGTGGTTTGTCCTTTGCAGAAGCTGCTCCTGGATGCCGTCGTTTGAGGTGCTGGTGCATAGCCGTCGTGCTTTTATGATAGGCCATTTCCACCTCACAAAGCCACCGGCAAACGACTGAATCACTTCCTTTTCTGTTAAAATATCCCCATACTGTAGAACTGCGTGTTCGGGTGGAGTGATTTAAGTTGACTGCAACTGCCTCACTCATGATTCTGCTACTCGCTGCCGCCATGTCTTTTTTTGAAAGTGACGACGCATCGACGCAGATTTTTTTACGTCGACGTATTTTTTGCGTCGACGTAATCGATTACGTCGACGCGTTGTCCCAGCCCTAACATGCGGACCACTTATGTGCACCCGTGTAAATAACATAATGTTCTGCCGGGTGTGTTGTTGGTTTTCTCTCGATTTCTGAGTCGACAAGCGCCTTTGTTACTGGGACCAGTCATTTTAAGAAAGGCCCCCATTAGAACCCATGAGAAATGCAAGAAATGCATTATTGCTCAGTCTGCAATATCTTTCCCAGAACAAACACCAATTGCAAATAACATACTAAAAATAAACCTGAAAAATCTGTTTAGAACAGCTACTATGTTGCAAAGAGTGAACTACCACTGGCACAATTTAGCAGTCTTTGCAAACTTCAAAAAGCAAATGGCCTCGATCTTGGTTCCACTTGTCTCTTACCCGTGACTTCAGTGGAAATTTCAAATTCAGGATCTGACACAGACTGATTCATGTCCTACACAGTTCTTACAAGTTCATAGAAATTTCTGTTCAATTAGAACCAAGTATTTGAGTTGATGATTGTAATTTTTATACAATGTTGTAATTTGTTTTTCAACAATTTTTGATTATGTTTTGTTTCCTTTACAATATTATACTTTAATGTATAATATTGTAACGGAAACAAAACAGGAAACAAAACATCAATCAAAAAAATTGTGCTTTTTTTTTTATTCGGGCTACTTAAATTTATTTTGGGCTACCAAAAACTGAAGAGTCCCTGCCCGAAGGGCTACCAGGGATTTTGAAATTTTGCGAGCTCTGAATAATCAACATTTTTAAGCTAACAAAACCTTAAAACTGAACCTTAAATACCTTTTTGTGAAATTTTGGTTATCTTTATTTTATAAAATTGAAAGTACATCAGAATTAACAACTTTGTCCAAAATTAGTTTCTCTTGCCATTACTGCTGTTGTTGCAGGAAATTCGTCAGTATGACCACCACAGATAGTTCCAGAGAGTTTCTGGGAGGTTTAGTGTTAGTAAATATCTCAGTGTCTTTATAATATTTTTTAATAAAGTTTTAGTTTCTATCCTTGGGCAGGGAGGAATTATAGCATCATCTGAGAATTCTGAAGGCCCTTTCACATAAGACACGGCATGCTCTGCGCTGGCTGCTGCCCTCTGCTTGTACGTCATTTTTTTGTGCCCGCTTTATAGCTACTTTTTTCATTAGTACTTATTAAGATCAGCTCGCCATGACTAAACTCAGATCGACTGGTTTTCCATTACAATCACCTAACATGCATGTTTGTTGTTATAGCAATGCGGCCAAGTGTCCAATGACGTAATTAGTATGTGACATGAACCCTACAACAAAGCTGGACGTCGAGGCAATGATATACCCGGTGCTCGATCTATGGCTGTTTGTCAGACTCGGGGGACCATGTCCTTGTTTTGTGTTTTGTTTTTTTGCTTTTTTTGTAGCCATTTTCCCTCATTGCCAGGTTTCAAAACTGGCAGTTTTGATTTGCATAAGTAAGACTTTCTCATGGCTCATTGAATGACGCCACTGATCAGCCAATCGGGGGCACGCAGTCTGACTCTAAATATTGTGGCAAATTGTGGCGAGATGATCCAAGTAGGTACTAATGAAAAAGAGGTTATGTACCAGATTGCTTTGTTTCCACAACACTGCTTTCCTTCCAAGGTCCCCAGAGCTGTTGAATGGAATGACTTACTCAACGGCTTGGAGGGAAACTTGTGTCATAACGTTCATTGAACTGCACAGAATGTTTTCGTTGCATGCTTGAACTTAGGGTGACTGTAGTTTTAGTTTCAAAACTTGTGCGAAGGTATGTCAGCAGGCACGAGGACTCCTCGCTGGCGTGCTTGTGCTGTGCTTTGCTCGCTGCCGCTGGAAAACGTCCCAGGATTCCAAGTTTATCCGCTCTGCACAAAGCGCTCTGCCTCCTGTATCGTAGATGTACACACTGAACACGATGAATGCAGGGTTAAAGGGTTTGTCTGTGCTAGGGGTGGGTGAAAGAGATTTTGACTATACCGCTCTATCGCGATAGCGCATGTTGATGATGTCATCAAGCTGTGCCTGTTTTGGTCGAAAGCATCGCAGCGGCTACAACCATTATCATCTGCAAATTGTGGCGGGCGACAGTCATAGCAAAGAGATGAAGCACTTCTGAAATATGGGGAAAGCTGAAAACTGCGCTTCCTCCACTTCCGTAACATTGATTCATTAATGTTGAATTCTCTCGCAGCTGTTCTGTTCCCATGTTGTTGCAGTATATTAATAACTAACCTCGTATTGTGGATGGATTATCTCAGTTGTTCTCCTGTCTGAAGTTTGGCCCGTGTACAGCATCCTGCTATGCGACTGCATTTGTCCCTGACCACCAGAATCCCTCACGTTAACTTTTATCGGGTGGAAAAAAAGTTGGCGTTCGTCCTCCAGCTTCACTGTGCTAATGTTATGCTAACATAGCTGTGTCACTAGCAATCACGTAGCACAACATTCTATACCAGCTAGCCCAACTTCAGTAACCCTGCAAACGCCACTGCTGTTTAGTTTTCTGTCTTCATTTATGTTGGAAGTGATAGCAGAGCTGTACGTTTGAATTAGTTTCAAAAATCTCTGTCAGAACATGGTATGAAATGTTTAGGTGGAAACTAGCGAGCTAACTTCCTGTTAACTTCTAACTCCGTTAAATTTAATAAATTCTGTTTTCATGGATGTAAAACTTAATTGTTACACCAGATGATTTAATTAAAGATGAAAGAATTTAGACCGTTTTTAACTCTTAGTTTTCGTTTGACTTTGGGACCTGAAGGGACGGAGTTTTGGACCCAGATTACTCCGCGATACTCCTCACTACGGCAGCCGTAATACTCTAACAATCCATCAAAACATTTTTAACAGATTTCTGCAGCCAAAATCGGTTCGAGGTCAGTAAGCACAACCAGAATTCATACATAAGGCACACTCGATTTTTGAGAAAATTAAAGGATTTTAAGTGCGCCTTATAGTGTGGAAAATACGTTATACAGAAGAAAAGAATATATCGTGATATATATCGTTACCGCACGTGCTTCAAATTATATCGCGATATGGATTTTAGGCCATAATGCCCAGCACTAGTCTGTGCTACACACAGCTGGATCATGTTTGTTCCTTCTCAGAACGTTGTGGACCTTCTGCTCAGTCATTTCTGATTTAATTTTATGGTGTACAGTTTGGACATGTATCATGATTGCTGTAAAATTTCAGCTTCATAGATCAAAAATGTTTTTTAAAAATGGTCTATTGTTAAATATATGCAGATTTTTAATTTTCACTTTCCTTTATTTGTCTTGTTTCCTAGACAAGGGGACTACTTAACTGAAGTCATCGTTTGAAAGACTGCTCTTCAGGCAATACTTTCTGAATGTTCCAACAGTCAAGGAAGTCTCAGGACAGCCTGGTTCTCCTGACAATTGGAACTCAAATCAGGGTAGCCTTTCTGCATCTTGAAAAATCAGAAGTGACTTGCTGTCAAGAAAGCAGTGCACAATCCCACCAAAATTCCATGGAATCCACTGTCTACAAAAATCACAATTGTGCACTGAATTACAGCACCCCAAACCCAAGGATTTTGCATTTAGTGTGTATAGCAGTGACAATCAAACAAAAAGAAACTGGCTTGAGTTCATCAGCACATGTCCTTGTTTAACACAAAGGAATATCCTCTCTTGAGAACTTCATAAGACAGCCTTCTAACAAAAGTGGACAGCTTGTGGAATTTTTAACTGAGACTATAACTTTTCCTAAAAGTTTCTAATATACAATGCTGGGCTGAAGCATTGGGCTGAAGCAAGGGCTGCTCCACTTCATAGAGAGAGAGCCCAAATGTTTTCTTTACAAGATCAGTCTTCTTCTGTACCTGAGAACAACGCCTCCACATCATCCCCATTATTTTGCATCTCTCCAAAAAAGGAATCTGCTAATTTCAAATCTTCCAAGATTGAACCTAATGTTGATGATTTTTCAGAGGAAAAATGTTTCGAGAATCAGGAAGTGGGAAGTTTCCTCCCACGAGTTTGTGAGCAGAAGGAACAAATCCTAGATCATTCAGAAGGAAATGTTTCCACCCCTTCTCAGAAGCTCTCCCCTTCTTCTCTCAGGGATCAGCCAGCCGAAGGTGAAGTCTTGGAAGCAAAAAAAACCAAACGGATCACAGATGATGAAATATTAGACTTTATCGAGAAAGAGGTTGCGTTACTATATTCTACCGAGCGGCAAAGTTTCAGCCCTGTTCTTACTGAGCAGTGCACTACTGCAACTGGACAAGAAGATGAAGTGAAGGAAAGCAAAGGAGCTGAGTTCTCTCCCACGTCTCAAGAGAAATGTGATATATCTGCATCAGAGAAACATGTAGCAGGTACACCAAACTCTGCTGTTGACAGCTCAAGACATGTTCATAAAAATGTTGAGAAGTATTTCAGTGTAAATTTTACCAGTATGAAAACATGACCTTGTTTCATGGCAAACCCCCAAAAGTTGATTCTGTCCATCTGGACGTAGCGTTTTCAGTGGGAGAAACGTTTCATCCAACTGAATTCTTCAGTCTGAGCTGACTGCAGGTTTCCCCAATCTTAATGATCAAGGAACTGACCCCCTAGCCCATTGTTCCTTCGGTGCTGCTAGTGTCAGTCATTATGCAAATGTACTGTTTATAAGATTGGGGAAACCTGCAGTCAGCTCAGACTGAAGAAGTCAGTTGGATGAAACGTTTCTCCCACTGAAAACGCTACGTCCCGATGGACAGAATCAACTTTTAGGGATTTACTTATCTGGGTGATTGAGCATGCATCAAGACATTTCATGGGTAACTTTCATCTCTTTACATCCACAGATTATCAATGTGTCGTCTTGGACGTTGCTCCCACTTGCATAAATAATGAAGCAGAGCATCCAGTGACTGTGACAGCAGTTTCTGGAGTCACCGTGCCAGAAGAGACTGAGAAGTACCCAGGATTAACGGTCAGCTGCAGTTCCTCACAAGGAGAGCGTGAGAGACTCAAAGAAACCGAAGGCACTGGAGATCAAGATCAAAATGTAAACAAACAGACACCTCCATCTAGACCTGAAGGTGCAGATACATTCTCTGCTGCAGTTAGAAATGATCCAGAATATGAACAGGGTTCCTCAAAGCCAGACATGCATCTTTTAAACACAAACCAAGAGGAAGTAAGGTTTGAGGACCCTTCATATGAAGATATAAGTGAAGATGAGAATCCAGAAGTTGATGATGATAATAATGACGAGGAGATGCCTTCACCTTCATGTGAAGTGTCTGAAGCCAGTAATACGCAGTTTGGACGTGTGCAGAGTCAGGCCGAGCTTCCAAAGAACCAAACACTTGGCATAGCACAAGATTGCTCTTGTCCATGTTTTGTTGAAACTGAGGATGGGTTTGAACGTTTCTTATGTCCTAAATGTGACGGTGAGAAACATTTAGATTGGCAAGCAAGCTGCTCTTTGAGCCCCCTTTCTGACGCGCAAGATCAAGAGGAGACTGATGAAGACGATGATTGGCTTGTTATGCCTATTAGCGTATTAGATGTTAAATGGGAACCAGCAGATGAAGGCCAGGCTGACCCAGAAACTGTTTCACAGCATGATGGTGAGCATGAAGACCAGGTAAAACAAAGTGACACAAATCCAGCTGTCTGTGAGGTACCCGGATCTGTTCCAAACCATGTGCCAGCTTCTGCTTTTTCCATGATGGAGGTTTTTGAAACACCTTCTCATCTAGCAAAAGTCATACAATCTAGAGAGACAATGCAACAGTCCTTCATGACGCCTTCTTCCTGGGGCACAACTGAGACTAAAGCTCAGAGACCACAAAATAAGGAGTCACATAGTGCTCCTGATGACAGTTGTGAAACTGACGATAGTTCCGATTACTCTTCTGATTCAGGACGTAACTATCTGACCGTGTCCAAACAGTGGTTAAATAACCTGTCAGCGCCTGCGTCAGCAGAGAAAAATGACTCTGGTTCTGAAAAAGTAAATGAAGACCATGAGATGGCAAACTTACAACCAAGTCAAACGGGGAACAGAAGCAAGTCTTCAGAAAAGGATGACATCATCAACCTTGATTCTGACACCGAGGATGAAGGTGTCCAAAGCTGTCCAGAGACACAAACAAAGAGATTATTCTCTACGCGCACAGAGAACAGTGGAGCTGCCAGCCTTAATCAACTGAAGAAACCTTCTCCTGAAACTGTGGAAGGAAACTGTCAAACCAATGGACGTACATCTATAGATTTATCCAGATGTTGTGACGAAGTGATCCAGAGTGGGAACCCTGACCTTTCACAAAGGACAGAAAAGTGTAATAATACTGGATCTCACCATGGTAGAAAAGCACGAAGCATTTCAGATGATCCTGCTGTTATAGTAATATCTGACAGTGATGATGAAGAAAAACAAAGCAGCAGACGGGTAAAGAGGAAAGGTGCATTCTCTGAGTCAATGAGTGGAGGCAGTACTTCATGTGGAGAACAAGTGAGGGATATTGAAAAGAAGGGAAGTCCTAAAGCAAACAGCAGAAAGCCGAGTATGCCTTGTGCAGATTCACCAAAGTCACAGCATCAGTCCAAACCTCAGCAAACACAGATAAAAGAAAAGAAACAGGATGTAACCTTTAGCCAATCAGATAGTATAAAGAAGAGAAAACTGATTAAAGTTAAAGTGCGTCCTGAGCGTGTTCAACAAAACGACAACAGACAGACTACTTCAAAAATCATGGAACAACATCGTGATGATGCACAAAATAGTCTTCATGTCAGCCAAAACACCCAAATCAATTTATCATCAAAGAACCGCTGTGAGAAGCAGTCTGTGGACACGGAGGTAGACATCACTAAAGCTCACTATCACCACGTTCAACAAAAGGCACAAAGGCAAACCTCAGAAATGGTCCAAAGAGAAGTAGAAAAACACCTTAACAACAAGGAAAGAGAGACTAGAGTTCTCTCGTCAGAAACGGAGGACAGCGATGATACCTTGATTTATATACAAACTAGTCCATCCTGTTCTGATAGCGAGGGTGACTCCACTATGACTCCCGTGATTCCTCGCTTTGTTGTTCAGAAGTCTTCTTCATCTAGTGATTCACTTAAACTTCTAAAACAGTCTACAGTCCAAAGGCGAGGCAAAAATGAATCCCAGGCAACTCCAGAGACCCCCACAGAAACCAGCAAGACTGACTCTAAAAAGAAGAAACAACAAGGGGCTAAAGGAAAGCTTGTATCCAACCCAAAGCCTATAAGTGATGCACACCATACAGAACCATTGTCTAGGTCTGCGCATAGCTCATCTAGTTCCAGGCACTGCTCGTCCTCATCCAAACTACAGCGATCTCACTCTGACAGAAACTCTTCAACATTACATCAGTCTCGCACTCCTACAAAGGGCCCGTCATCTTCCACATCCATGCAGTCATCAGCAAAGGAACAAGTGTTCAGTGACTGGCGAAAGAGCTTTGTCCCAACCAGGAGAGACCGAAAGAGTAGTCTGGAGAGTAACCTGAGACCAAGGCACAATTACGAGTCGCTAAGAGAAGCCAGAGCTGGACCAAGTCAATGTGACAAGCCACACAAACGGAGACACAGCTCCTATGAGTCTGTACCTCCTCTGATGAAGAGGCCCAAGGATGAAGCCATACAGATAACGAAGGCCAGACATCAGGACGCTCGATTAGTGCGAAGTGTGTACTTTTGAAGTCTCTAAAATGTTTTAATTGATTTGATTCATATATTAATAATAGTCAAGTTCCAAATTGTTATTTTAAATGTGTTTGATCTTGACTGCATGTTTCTAAATGTAGGATTTCCTCTGAGCCAAGGCTACAAGTGGAAGAATGAAACGAGCGTCATGGCCGACAAAAGGTGATGCTCAACATTTAATATCGACTGCATATAAAAGATTGGTCAAGCCTCCGGGTATGAGCAGTAAAACCAATACGGAGATCCCTCTAACTTTCCTTTGGCCAGCAGAGAGAAGTAACTTGTGTAGGGCTGTGCGATATGACCAAAATCTCATATATATAGATGTCTTAATATCCCGATATAAGACATCTATCGTCGATAACGATATAAATCACAAAAATGTAACATTTTCTGTAAATTCTGTGAATCTCGGGCAGCTCGACTTGCGTGAAGTGTTTCCAGCTGTCATGTAGCTGGAGTCGAGTGTTTTAGCCGATGCATGAAACGATACATTTTTAGACATAAGTTGTAACGGCGCCGTTTTCTTTGAGAGTATTTATTACACGGCGTGCTGCGGGGAGAAGCCTGTTCTGACGTTTGAGTCTAAGGTTTATTTTTTAGCACCTGGCGGCTCTTTTTTACTTCTCATCCGTAAATAATCTGCATCTTTCACATGATTCAGTTTATTTTGAAAAGTCTCAACAGGATCTTGAGCTTTATTGTGAAAGGTTTATGTGGAACAAGTGGACACGCGGTGGTTTTACCGTTGTTGTTGCCAACGACAACGCATAAAAACAGGCGCTTGTCCGTCCGTAGTGTGGTTATATTACATATAAGAGAAAGAGATCACTTTAACTAATGAATACAGCCACTACAGTGACCATAATAATGATAATGAAAAAATATCGCTGTAAACAGTTTATTTTGCGACACCACGAAACAAACGATTGCGTAAAATGAAACGACAGACGTTTTTATATCGTCATCCGATATATATCGTTACATCGAACAGCCCTAACTTGTAGTTGTTTCGACATGTGGGGTGGACTCTGAGTATTTGATCTGCTGCTGAATTTGAATCTGCTTTTTTAGCTCATGCTCAAGTCCAAAAGGTTTATTTAACAAATTTAATGTCCATGTAAAATCACTAGTATTGATCAGTTTACAGGTTGAATGAGGCCATGTCAAAGATAATGTGAAAATTGTGGTCTGGGCTTGTTATGTCTGGTTTTAAATAGCTAAGATATCACGTGAATATGCTTAGCTTGAGGCTTCACAACAGAGCTTGAGTAAAGAGTCATTGATAACTTGCTGTTTTGTTTTCAAAGTCAAAGCAATGCAGTGTACAGTATGACCAGGTTTTCTGAGGTGTGTCCTGTGTTTCACTGTGTGCAGACCAAGGAAAAGGTTCAGCTCTCCAAGACCTCACCACTGAAGGGAAAAACGCTCTGCCAAAGAGACATTCTGTTGTTTTTGTTATGACTGGTTCTGTGTTTGATTTAATAAAGCACTTGTGTAAAACAAGTGACGTTACATATAAAACTATAAGAAGTTCAGCATTTTATGTGTTGTACTTGCCATATTATATACACTCAAAAAATACAGGAACACTGAAGTTGCACACCAGACAATCTTGAAAATGAAAGTTGGAAATGGGATGGAAACTAAAGTCATCAACGTTTTGATGGGTCCATTCTAATTCTAAGCAAACACTGACTTGTTCCCGTATTTTCTGAGCAGTATACAAACATTATTCTTTGTTTTCTTTGGAAACAGAAGTGCCTGTATGAAAACCCAACATGCAGCTGTTTACTGTATTTGCTCTGAATACTGTTCATACTTGAAACTTTGTAAATAGTTTGAATTTTTTTATCTATTCATTTATAAGCTTTTTTTCTTACTCAGAAAATTCTATGCACCACTTAAAATAGCTGCATATTAAAAAAAAAAAAAAGCCTTATTACAAGAAGTGCTAATAGATTCACAATTGTTTGAATGTCTGTTTCACGGGATTTTAAATGCAGTATTATGCTCACTCTGTTTAAGTGATGTTCCCCAGTGCCTGTGTGAGTCCTAAACCCATCAGAAGGTTTCAAACCGCTGACAGGTGAAATGAATAAAAGTTGTTACAATGTTCTGCTAGAAAAACATGGGCGCTGTTATTTGTGTGATTGTTATTTCATCATGTATTGCTCACCTGTGGTTGGGGAAATAAGTACTTGATCTGTTGCTGAATTTGTTAGTTTGCTCACGTACAAAGAACTGAAAAGTCTCTTATTTTTATTGTGGTTTTATTTTAATAGTGAGAGGGGATATCTGAAAAATATAGCAGATTCTTTGCATAATCGCAGAGAATACAGATGTAAAATCCATAGACATGGACATAGCGATAGACAGGAAAACAGCCCTAAAGCATGTTTCCATGTCTGTGCTTTGCTGTAATGTAATTTGAGGTCATACTCTGCAGGCCAGTTGTCAAGTCCAGAAGGAGAAAAAATAAAAACGACAGGTGCAAAGGAAGCGGTTCCAGCCCATTTTAAGATAAGATACCTTTATTAGTCCCACGAGTGAGAAATTTCATGTTAAGGCTGCCGACCTATTGCATGCGGTGCCATCTTACCCTCCGACCATACATACATTACACAAAAACATCACAAGGGGAAGACAGGTCAGAGAGGTACAACAATGGAAAATGCACCACATGAGGAAAGATAAGGAGAAAAAAATAACTCCCCCCAGACTGAGCTCCAACAGGGAGGTCAGTTTGAGAACAGAGAAAAACACCTCTGCACATGAAAAAACTCTTAATACACCAAAGAAGCACATGACAAGCAACAGGGGTGGGTAAAGGGTGAGAGACAGCCAATGTAGACAGTACATCCGGGCCTGCAGCCTGTGCGCTGGTCTCCTTGATCCACCGTCAGCATCGGAAAATCAAAACTTGCACCGTAACCTGCACATGACCAGGTTATGTGGTAAATATAATGCTTTATTTGTCTACACCCTGTGGGCACTTTTTCGTAGAACTGCAATAAACTTTGACCCAACTGTAGAACCTCTGGAGAAAAGCAAAAACTGAAGCTGTAGACTATTGCTACTTCAGTCAAAACCAAACTAAATGAACATTGGACATGCAACTTCAAATTTGCAGAAAAATAGTTCCTCGAAATACATTTTCACTAAACTCAAAAGCATAGACAAAATATGTTAAGGCTGTCCAATTTTCTGAGAAGCATACCGAGTTGCCCAAATGGTGACCTCTCGCCCTGCCGGATTCAGAAAATGTGGTGCTTTCCAGTTCTCTCCCTATTTCTCATCCCTATTTGGGATCTCTGACAAGTGTCTGAAGGTTGAGAAGACCTTGAGGTGTGCAAAAAATTAAGTTAAATACTGCAAATGTATAACTAAGATTATGAATTATAGAATTGTGCATCATAGATGATCAATTTATCAATGTGTAAAATAATAATGGCACAGTGGTTAGCACTGTTGCCGCACAGCAAGAAGGTCCTGAGTTCAATTCTACCATCAGGCCTTTCTGTGTGGAGTTTGCATGTTCTCCCCGTGTTTGCGTGGGTTCTCTCCGGGTACTCCGGCTTCCTCCCACCGTCCAAAGACATGCAGCTTGTGGGGATAGGTTAATTGTTTAATCCAAATTGCCACTAGGTGTGAATGGTTGTCTGTCCCTGTGTGTTGGCCCTGCGACAGACTGGCGACCTGTCCAGGGTGTACCCCGCCTCTCGCCCTATAACAGCTGGGATAGGCTCCAGCGCCCCCCGCGACGTTGAAAAGGATAAGCAGAATTGAATGGATGGATAACATAATAATAAAACTTTATTAGAAAACTAAAAACGGTTGTACAACAACTGTTGCTGCATGAAAACATTTATTACTTCCTGCATAATGCCTTGTGTTATGTGTGACCCTGACCCGTAAAGCTGTAAGGTGAATATCAATACATTTTCTCTAGTGCCTTTATGAATTAAATGATTGAATGACTGAAAAGGTTCAATATTGAATCAGCTTATTATTAACTCAAAACACTTGCAGAAGCCTTTAGATTGTATCTCAGTCTAGTTCTGTAGGCTACACAATCATGGGGAAGATAGTTGTCCAAAAGACGACCATTGACACCTTGCACAAGGATGGCAAGACACAAAAGGTCGTTGCAAAAGAGGCTGGCTATTCACGGAGCTCTGTCTCCAAGCACATTAAGAAAGAGGCGAAGGGAAGGAAAAGATGCAGGGCTTGCAAAATCGCTAGCCCGATGTCCCGGGGCTAGCAATTTTTCCAGTCGGGCTACCAAAATCTATCTCTGCCCTGCCCGTCGGGCTATAATAGGAAGGAAAGATATATGTCAATGCTTTTGCATTCTTTCGGAAATGTCTTCTACTTCTGCTTCGAATGGTTTGCATTTTAAACTCCCAGCCTTTCAGGTTGTTATGAACGGCTTATATTTCTAACATTTTGTGATGTAAAAGTGAACCACGTGGCTTTTTTTATTTTCTGTGTGATGGAAGGACTTAAGACACGAGTTATTCAAACAATTATAAATGACAGTGTGATGGCCATGGTACTTTATGTGGACCAAATATGTTAAGGATAATGTTTATCAATGTAAAATTGCAAAGAACCTTTGGATAGATTATAACATCCAAAGGCTTTAAACATCTGCTTCAACCTACAGAGCATTGTTTTTACTAAAATTCAGCATCTTCAGATTAAAATTTGGTTGCTTTTTTTTTCACTGTATCACCCCCTCAATGCTATCTTTGTGATATTCTTGGAGATTTCATTTTTTATATTTATGCTTTTTGGTGTGAGGGACGTAACATTTTAACAACAAAAGTATAGAAATCCAAAATGGTTTGTTCCAGCTCGCCTCTCCCCTACTCTGACTCTAGCGCTCGAGTGGCTGAGATGCAGCGCAGCGGAGGTGTGAGTGCCTGGCTTAAAACAGGACATATTAGCTGCATTTAACCTTCAGTTACTCTTTATATAGTTAGGTAGGAGTCAGACCATGTTTCTTTTTAGCTGAAAAACATTACACCAGGTAACCTGCAGTGTTGAGTGTGTGTGTGTGTGTGTGTGTGTGTGTGTGTGTACAGAGAGACAGCCAGGTTCATAATGGATATAAGGAAGTTTTTTCAAAAAAGGAGCCACATTCAGGTAAAAGTGTAAAATCAAATGACCTGTGATTCAGGAATAATGTTGGATCAGTGTTTCAATGTTTATCTTTTATTAGATGTTCATGTGGTTTGGTTATTTGCCTTTTGGTTGAAAGTACACTGAGAGGACTTTTTGTTAGTGATCTTAATAGTATTTTTTCATATTAATGTAATTTTTCATCTAATTGAATACAATCTATTTGTGTATGATTGTCAGTCCAAAGAGGGAGAGAGGAAAGAGGGAACGTGAGGAGAAAGTACAAGGTCAGGAAGAACCAGGTAAGCAAACAGACAGGGAGCAGTGACAGGCAGAAACTGTTAAACTGACAAAGAGAAAAAACCTGATTTTACTCACAGTCTGGAAGTTGTGTCCTCCCTGTATTAAAGCTGCTAAACAGAATCTGCTAAACAAACTGGGTTGAAACATTTTGACCCTCTTTAACAACATTCCAACATAACATTATCATTGATCGGGGAGATTAAAATTAATGATATATTTTTATGTGGTTCAGCCACAACTCTACTAAAACCTCAGCCAGTAATAGGTCGGCCAACCTTTGGACCGTCCAGTTGTCTGTATGACTGCTGCAGTACGTGCATCACATTTGCACTATCAGAAAGAGCCAAACAGCCCTGGTGGAGTGAGGAGCTGTAAAGAGAAGCAGATGCTCTGTTTCTAAAATGTTTTAAGCTTGTTTCAAAGATTCTGTACTGCAGCTTTAAATGTTTTCCAAAAGCACACAGACACTTATCAGTGTTTCTCACACTTTTTACAGTGTGGACCACCTGATAAAAATGTCAAGCTCTCCTAAGGACCACTATGAAAGCATGAAACTCATAAATCTTACAACACAAAATTAGTATTATTAAATTAGTAAAATTAGCATCTGCAGTAAAGATTTTTTCATACATTGTATACATTCTACCACAGGCAAAGTTGCCTCCATTTTTATAATTTTTTAAATATTTTGTAATAATTTATTTGTAATAATTTATTCTGTTTCGGGAGTGTTTGTATGTATCAAAAATGCACTCAGTTTACTTCTTACTCACTATGAGCATCATTCATTATTCTCCCCCAGTAATTAAGGTTAGGATATGTATTTTTTTATTCCAATCCATTCTTCTTTTGCAGCATTTAAATAACCTTTATCAGATTTGATGGTTTTGTTACAGACTTTAAAAAAGTGTTTTGCTTTTCTTTCACACATGTGGGATTAAATTGTGTTAAAATGTACAAAACAGTGATGTCATGTTTTGTGACGAGGACCCAGGCACAGAGAGACTTGATGAATTTAAGAATCTTATGATTTAATAAAGAAATTTGCAGACTTGCACAGAGATGGTAAAATTATGATGACTGATAGCGGAGACAAAGATAACAGACGATGAGAACAGGGAGGAACAGGAGTTTAAATGCACCAAGGAGACATTCAGAGACAACTCGGGACAACTGGAGACATTTAAGGATGCAGGGACTGACAGAGACGGGGAAGACGTCTCATTGTGCCGTGTGAAGTTTATCTTGCCTGGCTGGGCAGCTCTCTGGGCGCTCAGCACCCCCAAAGCTCTGATCCTAGAATCGCCCCTGCTGCAGACAGTGAGAGTCTGGTTTATTTCATGAATACAATGAAACATTTTACAGTCCACAGAGCAAAGTAGCATACATGATAATGGAGACACATAACACAGACAGTGAAAAGTAAATCTCATCGTCTTACCAGTTGTTATATTCTGTAAACTTAAAATAAACCATTGAAATTAGAGTTTGGTGTTTTAAGTCGTCCATTACTGAAGTCACACTTCAACAATGCTTCATTTCACAGTCTTTATGATGACAAAACATGCTTTCGCGTTAGCACATGTCAGCTGTAGAGGTACACTTCATGCACTTATCAACATGCAGTTTAGAGGCTTGCATTAGAGTGCATTGGTGCTTGGGCCTCTTTTATTTAGCACGGTTATACCATTGTGAATTTA